TTTTTTTTTTTTTTTTTTTTTTTTTTGCGTTTTAGGGCATAAAATGAGAATTCATGATGATTTCTAATTTTTCATGTGCTAATATTTACGCCATTTTCAAAAATTTGGGCGAGGGTTTCGAATCGCCTAAAATTTGTAAGTCCAACAGAAATGACCTAATGAACAATAAAAATCGATTCGCTAATGACTTTTCCTTATTTTTTGGTGTTTTAGGGCCATAAAATAGGAATTCAACATGATTTTCAAATTTTTGTGTGCTAAATTCCATGCCATCTTCATGAATTCAGGTTATGGCCTCCGAATCGCCTAAAAGTTTGTGGGGCCATCACAAACAATTTAATGAACAATAATCATTGCTTTGCCACGATCCTCTCTCATTTTTTTGAAATTTTAGGGCCATAAAACAAGAATTCAGGATGATTTCTAATTTTTTGTGTATTAATTTTCACACGTTCTTCATGAATTCGGGCGACGGGCTCCACATCGCCTAAAATTTTGTGGGACCATCAGAAATGACCTATTGAAAATGATCATCACTTCGCCATAACCGTTCCTCATTTTTTGGCATTTTAGAGCCGTAACATAGGAATTCAAGGCGAATTCCAATTTTTATGAATTCCACGCCATCATCATGAATTGGGGTGACGGACTCCGAATTGCCTAAAAATTTTTATTGGCCCATTAGAAATGATCTAATGAACAATAATCATTGCTTCGCTCCGACCGTTGCTCGTCTTTAGGCGTTTAAGGCCATGAAATGAGAATTCACAATGATTTCTAATTTTTCATATGCCAATGTCCACACTATCTTCAATAATTCGGAAACGGGCTCCGAATCGCCTAAACTTTTTTGTGAGCCCATCAGCCATCTCCTTAGTGTCTTGCCATTCCTTCTTGTTAATACAGAAAATCTAACTCATTATAAGGTAAAACTCTTAGAGTCCTACTTAAAGTTAAAGGTAGTTCTTTAGTTAAGCAAGGAGAGCAGAAACTGAGGGAAGATCTTTAGATATTTTTTCCAGAGGAGGACTTCCTTGATCGCCTCATTCTTCAACCATGGGTTAAGAAGTGGCTAAAATCTCTCCGATGGTAGTGTATATTACGCTCATGGTCTGACCTAATGAACAATAATTAATGCTTTTTCTTGACCGTTCCTCACTTTTTGGTATTTTAGAGTCATAAAACAGGAATTTAACATGATTTTCAATTTTTTATGTGCTAAACTCCACGACATCTTCATGAATTCAGGCTACGGGCTTTGAATCGCCTAAAGTTTTGTGGGCCCATAAAAAAATAATCTAATAAATAATAGTCAATGCTTCGCTATGAGTGTTCCTTGTTATTTGGCATTTTAGGGCCATAAAACAGAAATTCATAACGATTTCTAATTTTTCGTGTGCTAATATCCATACCCTTTTCATGAATTCGGGCAACGGGCTCCGAATCGCTTAAAATTTTAGGTGCCCGTCAGAAACGACCTAATGAATAATATCCATTATTTCGCCACAATCGATCCTTGATTTTTGGCATTTTAAGGATGTAACACAGGAATTTAGTACGATTTTAAATTTTTCGTGCGCTAATGTTCATGAATTTAGGTAACGGACTCTGAATTGCCTAAAATTTTGTGGCCTCATAAAAAACGACCTAATGAATAATCATCATTGCTTCGCCATGACCGTTCCTCATTTTTTGGTGTTTTAGGGCCATAAAATACTAATTCAACATGATTTTTAATTTTTCGTGCGCTAACTCCACGCCATCTTCATGAATTCGGGATACGAGTTTCGAATCGCCTAAAATTCTACGGGCCCATCAGAAACGGCCTAATGAAAATAGTTGTTATTTCGCCATGATCGTTACTTGTTTTTTGTATTTTAGGGCTATAAAACAGGAGTTTTGGATGATTTCTAATTTTTCGTGTGCTAATGTCGATGCTATCTTCATGAATTCGAGCTACGAGTTCTGAATCGCCTAAAATTTTGCGGGCCCATCAAAAATATCCTAATGAATAATAGTCATTGCTTCTCCATGACCACTTCTCATTTTTTGTTTTGGCATTTTAGGGCCATAAACTAGGAATTCAAGACAATTTCCAATTATTTGTGTGCTAATGTCCACGACATCTTCATGAATTCAGGCGGTGGGCTCCGAATGGCCTAAAATTTTGTGGGCCCATAAAGAGCGACTTATGAATAATAATCATTGCTTTTCCATGACCGTTCCTCATTTTTTGATGTTTTAGGGCCATAAAACAGGAATTCAAGACGATTCCTAATTTTTCGTGTGCGTTCGTCATGCAATATTCATGAATTCGGGCGACGAACTCCGAATTGCATAATATTTTATGGGACCATAAAAAAATAATCTAATGAACAATAGTCATTGCTTCATCATAACTGGTCCTCATTCTTTGGTGTTTTAGAGCCATAAAACATGAATTCAAGATGCTTTTTAATTTTCCTTTGCTAATGTCGACACCATCCTTTTGAATTCGGGTGACGGGATCCGATTGGGACCATAATATTGATCGAATAAATAATAGTCATCGCTTCTACATGATTTTTTTATCATTTTTATGCTTTAGGCCAATAAAATAGATTCGAGATGATTTCTAATTTTTCGTGTGCTTTAGTCCACGTCGTTTTCATGAATTCGGACAACTGGCTTTGAATCGCCTAAAATTTTGTGAGATTATCAGAAATAACCTAATGAATAATAGTTATCGCTTCACCATGATCGTTGCTTGTCTTTGGGAATTTTAAGGCAATAAAATAGGAATTTACGATAATTCTCAATTTTTCGCGTGTCAATCTTCATGAATTCGGGCGACAGGTTCGTATTCGCCCAATATTTTGTGGGTTTATCAGAAGTGACTTAATGAACAATAGTCATTGCTTTGCCATGATTGTTCCTCATTTGTAGTGTTTTAGGGCCATACAATAAGAATTCAGAACGATTTTTAATTTTTCGTGTGCTAATGTCCACGCCATCTTCATAAGTTTGGGCGATGGGCTCCGAATCGCTTGTAATCTTGTGGGTCATAAGAAACGATCTAATGAGCAATACTCATTGCTTCACCATGATCATATATTTTTTATTTTGTGTTTTAGGACCATAAAATGGGAATTCAAGATGATTTTTAATTTTTCGTATGCTAATGTCAACACCATCTTCATTAATTCATGTAACAGGCTTTGACTCGCCTAAAATTTTGTAGGCATACAAAAAATGACCTAATGAACAATAGTCATTATTTCTCCATGACCGTTCCTGTATTTTTGGTATTTTAGGGCCATAAAATTAGAATTTAGGATGATTTCCAATTCTTCACGTGCTAAATGTCCACGTCATCTTCGTGAATTCGAGCTACAGACTCTGAATCGCCTAATGCCAAAAATGAGAAATGGTCATGTCACAATGATGATTATTATTACTAAGGTCATTTTTGATGGACCCACAAAATTTTAGGAGATTCGGGCCTGGTCACTCGAATTCATGTTGATGGCGTGGACTATAGCACACGAAAATCTGGGAATCGTGCTGATATCCTGTTTTATGGTCCTAAAATGCAAAAAGATGAGGAACGGTCTTCACAAAATAGTGACTATTGTTCCTTACGCCAATTTGGATGGGCCTACAAAATTTTAGGAGATTCG